ACAATTCTCGGTAGCTTACTTATGATAATGTTAAAACAACTTAGATTGATCTAGTTTATGAAAAGGCAATTGAATCCCATGTTCATAGATCCCCCACAGCGTAAAAGTTCTGAATCTTTCTAATCTCTAATCTAGACTTTCACATATTGTTGTATCGCTTGTAATCATTTATCATGTATGTATTCATTCTGTTCACAGTTAAAAAATAATATTTTTACGCTGATATTTGTTTCTATGCTCTTAGCTTGCAAGAGAGGTGATTAATGATTTGATAAATGCGCAAGTCCAGTTTCACCCTTAATAGAAACTAAACTGGAGTAAATTTCAGGCCGATAATGAATCTCTATACACCTTCTAATGGATTACTTGGCACTCATGTTACTTGGGAAGACATTGAGGAGGATATGCAACGAGAGTTGGATACGGTTGCCTCATTTGGGCCGAACAAAACTGCAAAGAATGTAGGAGATGGCAGAGTAAGTTAAAGCGCTAGTAATCTTGATTACTTCGATTTGTTATTTTTTCAAGGGTTTCATGTCAAGAATTGCCCTTATTGAACCTGACTGGCAGCACAAGGATAAGCAACTCCCTGAAAAATTTGTAGTCAAGGTAGGCATCATTCTCTAGATTAGTTACCTTTATTATTTAATTTTGCAGATCTTTGTTCCTAAAATTAGGTTTGTAGATTGTGTCTCAACTAGCTACGATGGAAATTACGGAAGAAATGTCAAAAAAGAGAAACATGAAGAACATTTTCGACAAGGAGGAGCTCAAAATGGCAATGGAATTTCAGCAGAAGCGTGTGACTTGCTCTTCCAATCAAACTTTCATTGTTATCAAGTCAAATTCGCTTTCAAAAAAAAACAAGACGAAAAAGAATCAAATTTAAAAAAACGTGTTTTTAGGTCCATAATGCAGAAATCAACGTGTACAATCATCTGCTAAAACTTCCTCAAGAGAGTTTTCCTAATGCAAAGGTTCTTTTCCAAAAGCTAATGGGTTTTTGAGTGTCTCTCATAAAGTTACTTTTTTCAAGATTTACTACATGAAGAAATTCTCCGAATATAATCCAGTCAAAGGATACTTGATCATGGAATATATCGAAAACATCAAGCCAGTGCATGTATACGAGAACATTCCACCGAAGTCTCTCAGCAAGGTTACAAATTTTAAGTAACACTGCCTCTTTCATGTCTTAAAGATGATTCTAGGTACTCCGGGCCAAAGCAGTTCTGGAAGCGCTTTCTCTTCGATTCACCGTTGGGGAGAAAAAAGAGTTCACGAACAAGCCCTTTACTGAACTTTTTGCACCCATATTCACCGAAGAAGTGAGTCTTTATTTTAGATATGAAAGAGAGTTGATCAAGCTGGGAAATGGAAGAAGTCAATCAAAATTACATTTTTTCAGACAGTGCAAAGCATGGTTTTGGCATTGCGAGATTTCGGAACAGAATCTATCAAACAGAAGATTGACGAAATGCAGAAAGTGCTCGTAGACGTAATAGATCTTCCGTGGGCGGACCAGCTAGCAGATGAGCTAGGTGATTGAAAAGCAACATTCGATATCTCCCACAAGTATACTTCAAGAAGATACAGTAAAAAAAACTTGCTGAATCATCAAATGACTTTCTCCAAGTGAATGCTCAATATCTATTTTTGTTAATCTGTCAAGCATTATATTATTGTTTTCCACAAAAAAAA